TGCTGCTACTACTATTAATCACTATCATTCTTCTTCTTCTTCTTCTTTTTCAGCATTCTAATCACTTGGGGTACATTGCTGCCGCTATCACCCGTCTCATTCATTTCTGTGTTCGCCTGCTTTCCAGCTGGGGCTGGGGACTCCACGAGTATGTAGGTCCTTCTGTATATTAAATCTCAGTCGTTTTATGTCTCTTGGTCTACTCCTACTCAACTCTTTTGTGTACGCGGGAGTGTTATATCTAATTTGCAAAAACAAACACAGAAACGAAACAAGCATTCCATGTGGTTGTTGCGGGCACTCGGACAGAGCAATTATCTATTGACTCGTTTGCTGTGTAGTTTAAACTGCTACTCATGACTAATAGCTTCTTAGTCCTCATTGCTTATTAAACTATTTAATCCACAACTGCACGGATCTCCTACTCAGTAAATTCCACATCGTGTAGCGTCCCACCACACAAGTTCTGTGTTGATTTTATTCTAGTGCCCTTGACTGGCCTCGCCTCTACTGACTTGCTATTTTTGTAGTTGTTGTAGTTTCACCTTGCGTTGGGTTCGACAGTGGTATCAAGCAAGTCGACCGTAAAGAAAGCAATGACAAACTACTGGACGTAAATTTGCCTAGAAAAACTACACAACCGCCAGGGGCTGTTGTGGTTGTTTCTACAACGTCCTGTAAAGGATACGCAACCTTTTGTAGTTTCACAGTCATCACATTATTCTCACAGTCGTCTTGCTTCTTGTGAAGCATTTGTTATACGAGGGCGGTTTGAAAAGTAATGCCCCCAGAACATAACTTTGTTAATATACACAATGTACACAAGAAATATACATGTTCCAACAGTATGGGATGTAGTTTCAAGGTAGTCACCCCCACATTCCCCTCAAACACGCCAGTGTGAACAGGTTTTCCAAACCCGTCAAGAGAAAAAAATCGGAAATTTTTTTACGAAGTTAGGAAAGCACATCAGCTGCCACACACTCATCAGAAACATGTTACCATTTATATTAGGAAAAGTCACAAGGTGCCAAATATGTGCTATATGCTGGGTGCGTCAATACATCGCCAAAGTTAAGGCTTTGATAACGTTGTGAGTGTAGAACGGTTTAGGAAGTTTACAGATTATGACAAATGTTTGTTTTTTAATCATGTCGGTCAACAGCGAGCGGATGAGAGAGAGAGAGAGAGAGAGAGAGAGAGAGAGAGAGAGAGAGAGAGAGAGGGAGGGAGAGAGAGAGAGAGAGAGCAAGCAAGTGTTGATAGAGCGACCGAGAATAAAACAGCAACACTGATCGGGTGATACAGAGGGAGACTGCAAGGGAGCATATGAAATAGAGAGAAAGAGAGAGAGAGAGAGAGAGCAGATGGTGATAGAGCGACCGAGAATAAAACAGCAACACTGATCGGGTGATACAGAGGGAGACTGCAAGAGAGCATATGAAATAGAGAGAAAGAGAAAGAGAAAGAGAGAGAGAAAGCAAGCAGGTGGTGATAGAGCGACCGAGAATAAAACAGCAACACTGATCGGGTGATACAGAGGGAGACTGCAAGAGAGCATATGAAATAGAGAGAAAGAGAAAGAGAGAGAGAGAGAGAAAGCAAGCAGGTGGTGATAGAGCGACCGAGAATAAAACAGCAACACTGATCGGGTGATACAGAGGGAGACTGCAAGAGAGCATATGAAATAGAGAGAAAGAGAGACAGAGAGAGACAGAGAGAGACAGAGAGAGTGCGAGCTGGTAGTGATAGAGGTAGGTAGGTAGGTAATTGTTCCCCACGAGGACATCACACAAGCAATAAACACCCAGTGACACAAGTGCCACCACGCGGATGAGGATCACCCGTGGAGAGGTCCCAGAAACCCCTTTCAGCCGCTAGGCCAAATCTAAGGCCCAGCTATATTCAGGGCCCCCGGAAAAAGCCAGGGTGCAGTTTTAAAAAACAACCAAAAAATTGCATCCACAAGGGGACGACTTTCAGCTAAGAGATAATATAGTGAGAGAGGGAAAGTCAGCAAGAGCGAACGGGTAAGAGAGAGGGAGACTACAAGAGAGAATATGAGATAGATAGATAGATAGATAGATAGATAGATAGACAGACAGACAGACAGACAGACAGACAGACAGACAGACAGACAGACAGACAGACAGACAGACAGACAGACAGACAGACAGACAGACAGACAGACAGACAGACAGACAGACAGACAGACAGACAGACAGACAGACAGACAGACAGACAGACAGACAGACAGACAGACAGACAGACAGACAGACAGACAGACAGACAGACAGACAGACAGACAGACAGACAGACAGACAGACAGACAGACAGACAGACAGAGACAGACAGACAGACAGACAGACAGAGACAGACAGACAGACAGACAGACAGACAGACAGACAGACAGACAGACAGACAGACAGACAGACAGACAGATAGATAGATAGATAGATAGATAGATAGATAGATAGATAGATAGATAGATAGATAGATAGATAGATAGATAGATAGATAGATAGATAGATAGATAGATAGATAGATAGATAGATAGATAGATAGATAGATAGATAGATAGATAGAGAGAGAGAGAGAGCATTTTTGGCATCGTGAGCACTAATATGCAGCAGTTGTTGGGACACATGAAGAAACTGGCAGATAACAGACTGGCAAAACCTACATACACAAAAGAGTTGAATACTGTAGGACAGACCAAGAAGACAACGGAAAGATAATACACACGCAGACCTGCAAACATTTGAAGTCACTCACCAGAAAGAGATGGTCAGTCACCGAGAGGAGGGAATGCTAAAACAGAAGAAGATAGTACCGGATATTATCCATTTATCCTTTACTTATATTTGTATCAGTTTATGTCAGAAAGTCTAATAATTTATCAAACTATTTCAACGACCCTTAAGAATTCCCCGAAATGTTGATATCCAACGGCGTTGGTTACACTGGTGTAACCAATCAGAACAAAAGGTGAAATTTACAGATACCCCAAAAATATGAACAACGCACCTCGCCGAGGAACTCCCAGCGCACTGAAAAAGGTTATTTTTGCTCATGCGGGCTGGTAGCTGTACCTGTTGGGGGGTTCCCCAGTTTCTCCCTCGTATCGTTATATCGATCGTTGGTGCGCCTGAAGCTGGGTGGTGATCGAGGTCATATAGACGTGAATCGGAATAGTTTTCCTAGAATACGCCTCCGAAGCATCTTTCTCTCGCGCAGGCGGCAACTGCTGGGTGGTAACAGCGTTTGAGTTATCTGCCCAACAGAGGCCTATCTCTAGCGTCGGTCATTTTTAACGGTACTATTTAGAAGAGTACCAGTTTCAAACGCGGACACCGAAACCTGGAGGCTTGAGTATCTTTCCTGAGGATCCCTCCCTGAAAATGTTAGACAGACCTCAAATCCCCCCCCCCTCTCCCTCCTCAATTTGTAAAGAGGCTAACCAAGCTGCTACCCCAACCAAAATTGGAGTATCTGTTTTATACAATTTTATTTGAACCTCGTTTATGGAGCATTTTTGTGTGTGGATATATTTCGATTGTGGTGGTTTTTCAGCGGCTGAATGCCACCCCCTCTCGCAATATATTTATTTGTCTTTAGTTATTATTATTACACACTTGAGCCTCTCTCTCCTCCGGTTTCCAGAAAATGTGTAAGGCATCCCTCATATGACTGTAGCTGAGCTGGCTTTTGTTTGCCTAGGCGAAGATATATGATGATGCTAGTACATTGGACATAAGAAGAAGCAGAAGAAGAAGAAGAAGAAGAAGAAGAAGAAGAAGAAGAAGAAGAAGAAGAAGAAGAAGAAGAAGAAGAAATATCAGCTCAAGTTTGAAAAAAACCCTGAATAATTCAGCCGAGCTTTGATTTCAAAGATAACCCTTTTCAGCAAATGTCTGTGAATAGAAGACCGCGTATAAACCAGCGTATATGGTTTTTCTTATGTCCATTTAAAATAATTTATCTTTTCTGCTGCTTTATTATTTATACGAAATACTTATTAGCTAAATATATTTATTTAAAAGGATTTAATTGCTATCTGCGGTTATATTTGCACCAAAAAAAAAAACGTTATAGAATAGTTGGTTTCTTCCTTAATAAAAATGTGCATTTAGCGCAATTTGTCACCAGGAATCACACACTGACTTAACGACATTCTAAGGTAAACCTTTTTATTATTAGAAGATTTAACCTCCTAAATATAAATAAATATATGGGTCAAACATTTAGGCCTAGTCCATACCAGGGAAAGATTCTGAGAAATGGGGGGAAAGGGGGAGAAACTCGCCATTGTCCCGAGTTATGGTTTACAATAATGCTAAAAAGGTGCACTTTCAGAATTTCATACATTATATTTCCTCCAATGACCTCTGCTCTCCACCTGCACCGTCTGTGTATTTAAAAACACACGACTTTACATGCAAGTAATAGTTTAGGGACTGGTTTTGACATCTAAGATGGTTAGCGTACTATGTAGTGTATGTTTTTAACATATGTTTATTTCCTTTCGCCTTTGAAGGACGCATGGGCCCCGCCATTTTGACGCTATAATCGGGCGAATTGATCCATTACGGTGACCCCTCTAGGACGTATTTCTTACTGGCATGATCATAATGTGTTTTTGTTGTGGGTTTTGTCAATTTTTCAATGCAAGGACCAATGTGTGAGCGTTGGACACGGCCAGAAGGCCGCTGGATCAAACATTACGCTTCCTAAGTTAATACTTTTTATTCTCAAGTGGGTCAGAAGCCGTTTGTAGAGCTGTTTCCTGACGTGGGATTTATGTGCCGAAAGCGGTCATCTTTCTGTGGGCCGGGACTCCGTCTGTGTGGAATTCCCCCTAAAATAACGCGGATTTGCCAATCTGACAGCGTTCTTCTTGCAGATATTGATGTCGCGCTTGTGTATCGGTATTGGCGCACCGGGGCACAGTGTTGGATAATATTTCCTTGTGTATAATTACTGTTTGAGGTCTCGACAAAATGGCTAGCAGCTCGAACAAAGAGGAACACGACGGAGACCTCTCCAGTGAATATGAGAAACAACGTATGAGTTTTATTGCAGATTTGCGCCGTTTCAATGAAAACAGAGGGTAAGATATGTGTATGTTGTTGTTATTTACCTACAGTTCTTTAATCTAACACTACCCTCAGATGAAATAATTAATTATTCTAGATTTCAAGCTGACAGGGTGTAAGGCAAGCCGGCGGTAGATTTTTCAAATGTCCCGTCTTTGGCCACCATAACTTGACAACTTGCGTACATTGCTTTTCTATTCATTTTCATTTCATCAGGATATAACTTCGAGTTTTACTATCTCAATTAATTATATGTTCGATGCACCATTTCACCAACTTTCTATTAGCAGAAAAGATCATTTTTCAGTAAATATAAATTTAAATTAAATATGAATGAAATTGATTAGGATTAGGATTCAAGAACGTTCAAGCCCGTTATTTATGTTATAGAGTATAGTATAGATGATATAGAGAATAAGTGACTAAGTATATCGTTTTTCTGTTCATTTTATTTCACTGACATGTAACTTATAGTTTTAGTATCTAATTCAATAATATATAATTTATAGTTTTTTTTCAACAGGTTAGCCCAAAAAGACCATCTTATAAACTTAAAATTAGTCATTCAGAATTTATATTCATTTTATGATTTTATCAAGATTTAAGATTTATTTAGTATTTAAATTTTATTATTATGTTGGTTATTCTTTTTTCAACAATAGCAATAGCAGAAAAGAACGATTTAAGAGCATCCTCTCCAGTTTTGACATTTCTCGCTGCTGAAGATCTCATAGTCAAAGATGATAATCTAAATAATTCCACTTGTTATTTATTTTGCTGTCATAGTTATAATAATGATACATATAACCAATCTCAATGCATTAATTAATAAATTTCTATTACATTTTATATTGTGTGATTAAAACACTCTTTTATTTAGTAGTTTTTCTTGACTAGAATTGACTTTATTAATCATATAATGTTGTGAACGCTAATATAAATAATATAATTTCTAACAAATCACTGACTTGAAAAATTATCAGTTTTCAAATCTTAAGATAAATCAAGCAGTTCTGTTAGTCTTTCTTATCTTTAGGAGGAAAGTGGGGGGGGGGGGGGGGGGGGGGGGGGGGGGGGGCTGTTCTGTTAGTTTTCTAAGGTAATTACTAATACTAATAGAATTGCCCAATCTCCATATCCTCAGAGATATAGTTAATTATTTTAGTACCTTCCTTCTCCCTAGAGAAATCATTATGTTAGTAGTTTTCTAAGATAATTGCTTACAGTATTGTGTGGTCCCAAAGTAGCCTTCCTTATTTTTAGAGAGGAGAGAGGTGATTCTGTTACTAGTTTTCTTAGGTGATTATATTAGTAGTTTTCTGTGTCCTTATATAAACTTAAGTTTTTTCTAAAAAAAGAATTGGCCAATACTTATCACAGAGGATAGGATCTGGAAAAAAATATGGTGGTACTCAACAACCACAAAGTATCTGTCCAGTAGCACTAAAACAAAATACCTAAAAGTTGCCACTACTGCATCTGCCCCCCCCCCCCCCCCCCCCCCCCCTCCCATCTTGCCTTTCTGAACTCGCTCACTAACAAGCAATTTGCCATGCTTTTTGTTTTAGTAATTCCTCACATGATTAGCTTTTTTTCAACCGGTTTTTGCCTAATCCACTGGTTCCATAACCCCACTGTTAACACATTTGTTATAATTTAACCCAGTAGAAATATTCAAGCTTCTTTATAGTGAAAAAATATTCATTGTATGGGTTCTGGGACCCCTTGGAGCGGGGGTGGGGGGGGGGGGGGGGGGGGGGGGGGGTGGGGATAGTCCCACTGTCCCCTAATAAGGCAAAGATCAAGTTTTGGATCAAGGCCATTGTCCAGCAGTGGACATACTTTTCACTATAGTTTACAATTTGGAGAGGCTACAGTGATCTTTGAAGCATTTAGTCCCTAACTCTGCTTATATATATTTTTTTTCGCTGTTGATATTTCTGTTATACCTATAGCTTGCTTTACTATAATTAGAAATCTGCACTGGCTACTGAAGATGTGGTCGGAGTTCTTATGGGAGTGTCCCAAGTTCTGTGATGTCAGTTCTGAACTCAGCTCAATAGCTTATATTTTTTCCTACAGTCCTTGGAAATCAAAATAATTTAAAACAGCTTGAAATATGATTATCAGTATTAAATGGTTTACACTATGTTTCCTTTAAATTGGATCAATTTATTAGTTTGAATTACAAACTGAAATCTTTCTGTATTTCCAGGCAGTAGTGTTGTATTGTGCTCTAGACAGTTGCTTTATAGTTCCTCTTGTTTGTTGATGGGAATGGTGATCCCTGATGGGACTAATAAGACCAGCTCACCTTAGAAAGCCTTCCCCAGATCGATAAAACATGGGATTTCAGGACCATTGTTGCCATCACATGTATTTAACATGCTTCTCAGATTGCTAGTATATGATATGCCCTGTAACCTTGCTAAACACTGCAGTAGTCTTCTAGCATTTGATATCCTTTGTAATTTTGATCATCACTGTCATCCTGTGGTACTGTTTATGCATTGCATAAGATTGACAGTTGATGTACTCTAATATACATTGCATAAGACTGACAGTTGATGTACTTTAACACTGTAGACTGCTAACAGAGAGACTATCTGGTCTGTTTCAACCTCAATCAAAACAAAAGCTGTGTGGCACACAGGGTGATTTGGACTGCAGAATAGCTTATATCAAGGTTGCTGATTTCCTGAAGTAAAGTTTTCTGACAGAAGGATCAAAGACGATTTTTCCATTCCATTCTTCTTCTTCTTCGCGTTCACCAGCTGTACACTCTGGCGGAAAGTTCTGGTTGTTCGTCCACACCTGGACTGCAGTCCTGCTCCAGAACCTGGGTGTTGCATGTGCATCAGTTTTACATATCTGATTCACTTGAATGCAGACTGTTGGTTCCTTGCCTCTCAGGCAGATGCACTCCGACTTCAAAGGAAGCTACCAATTAGTCGACTCTTACGACATGCTTTATGGTAGGCAGTGGGTCTATTCTTGTTTTCCCCCCACAATGGGGCCCCGGATCCCACACAGGGACATTCCATTCTATTCCATGCAGCTTTTTGATGTCATGTATAGAACCAGACCTCCACCTCTGCGCTTTCTCATTGTTTGTTAAAGCTCCCCTTGTTCATCCTTGCTTGATCTGTCCATTTGTTTCCAGTTTTGTTTAATATTATTTGTTATTATTTTGCAGGACACCCTTTGACCGTATTCCAGAAATAGGAGGACGTCAGATCGATCTTTATCATCTTTATCAAAAAGTCACTGGCCTTGGAGGTCGGCAGAAGGTAGGTGACTGCATGATTGTCAGATTATATCTAAGAATTTTAATCCCAAAATTCTAAGTTGTATAATAGTGTACATGAATTCAGTTTTAAAAAAATTATATATTTTGTATCTTTTGTTTAAGACATGTATTTATGAAATGTTTCACCCCAAGAAGGCTCAATGTACTCACTTCAAATTGTGACACATCGCCATAATTGCCAGTATATCACCATTTCTGCAGTGACATTCTCGAAAAGCATACTTAAATGCCATTGATTCTATGTGCACTTGTTGTGGAGGTCCGGATGCAAATATATTAACTAAATGTAACCTTAAGAGGGTTTAATTGTCAATCCAGTAGCTTTTTAAAAGCCATTTTTTTTTTGGGTTCTTGTTTGTTTTTAAAATTTTACCACAAGCCTAGATGATAGAGGTCACAGTGTAATGACATGAGTCAACGATACATAAATGTTTTATACTGGGGAATGAATCCTTTTTAATGCATCACTCTGCTTTTGTTTATTGATTACTCCCTTTATATACCTTTTTTTTTTAAATAAGTATTTTTTAAATGTAGATAAATTAAATTTAACAATATTTAAGTTACCTGTGAATTTTTTTGTTTTTTAAATAATGTTGGTGCCAAAATTCATACAGAGGTGTGACTTTTATTTTAAGCATTTATAGAGTGATATTGTTATAGGAATAGAAATAATTTGTATGTACCCTTTTGAAACATTTCTCTGCTTGCCTATTTCAGTTTAGGGGGCTGTGAAAGTTAAATAAGATACTCGCTGAAGATCTTGATCTCAAATGTGCACAGAGGCCGTTTTTAAGACACAAATGATAGCTGTAGTAGCATAGGGACTGGATGATTACCAGTCAGCACAAAGGTTGAGTGTTCAAATCTGCACTGAGGTGGATTTTGTTAATCAGTATTGAACTTGACTCCTGAGTGGAATTCAACTTGATTGATGCAGATTCAAAACTGAGTCCTTCAGGCTGGCGGGTGGGTTTTCTGGGTTTATAGTGCTAACCCTACATTTTAATAGACCATTCAGCACTGGGTGGGTAATAGGGCTAACAAAAACATGTCCTGTATTAATCTTATGCTTGCTGACCTGGGAGCTTTAGTGAATTAAAGACAAACACTCCACTGTAACAATTGCATGTATGAGTGCAACCTGCACTACTACTGCATCTACTACATTTACAGAATAGAGCTTAAACATCGATAGCTGTAAAACAGATGTGCATGCAGAACTTTTCTGGAACAAGTACAAAGTCCAGAATTGGTTGAATAACCAGTTTTTTTTTTTTTTGGGTCCCAAGTTTCCTATGAAGCCTTCAGTTCTTTCCTGTGCTTATAATCTTTCTGCTGGTAATCTTTCTGTTATACCTATAGCTTACTTGTACAGTCAAAATTGGAATTTCACACTGGCTGCTGAAGGTGTGTCCTGGTTTATAGATAATGTGAATAGCTTATAGATAGCATGACCACTGAGAAGCGCAAGTTAACAATTCTTCTCTTGAAAGGATGTTGTTTAGCGTGTGTCTGCATATATCAAAGCTCTGATATCGTCACTTTTCAGCCTGCACATTCAGCTTCAGTACTGTGTATTTAAAGGGCCATATTTGACTTCTTTTCTTGATCTCAGATGTTTGAGGATAGTCACTTGCAGGTGAAATATGTATAATCTTCCCGCACCTTCTGCCTTTTGTCTCATGTTGAAGACTAAGATTTTCAGCATCTTCTGCCTTTTGTATCCTGTTGGAGCAGAGATCTTCAGTATCTTCTGCCTTTTGACTACTGTTGGAGCCATCACATGCCAACCCTCCTTATTCACCTCTTATGGCATGTTTAATAGGTTACCATGCTGCTGTGCTATGTTTATCAGCCCTAGTAACACATGGACTAGCCTGATATCTTTGTTACCTTTACCCTTGGGGAAATTACTGTAACTTATATAACATACTTAGCCATCTGGTTGGTATAGCTGTGTCAGATATACAGACAAGCTACATTCTTATGCCATGATGTAGTTGTATGGGGGGATACAGGACTTTGTTCTAGACTGTGTTCAGTTTATGAGACTTGTAGGCTGTGTCACAGATGTGGAATAACTGGAAGATGTTAACAGCTGGGAGGATTCATGAGAAAGGAGACTAGGGAGTACAGAGTGAAGAGTTAGCTTGGTGTCATGTTGTGGACAGTAACCAGCACATTAATTGATAATAGCTCTTCAGAACAGCAGTTGTGGTATGGCATGCTGACCTGGAAAGATAAAAAGTATCTGGTGTCAACAGTTACAACACTAAAATGGTGATATGTTAGGCGCGTCCTGAGAAGAATCACCAAACAGTTACTGCAGTGAGAAACAAATTGACTGAGGAAACTAGGATGTCCAAGATATCCGTAAAGCTTACATTAACCCTTTCGCTGCTGCGCCCTCCGCCAGCCAACGTAACCACTGTGCTAAGCCATGTGATAGCTAATCTTTCCTCCTGTGCTGAATACCGTTTTTTCCTTCAAAAGTAGAAGACGCGCTTGCAGCGCGGGGTAAAAATTGTACACCTAAAATAAAAAAATCGTTGAAGGCGTGTTTGAACTTTGCGCTGACAAGTCAGACGCGCTATTACTACGCCATGAAAACTCACTAACAAAAAGAAAACACTACAAACTTACAAAGCAAACACAAAACACTTTAGTAAGCAAATACATGGTTTTTATTATTATTAATAATATCTTTTTGTGTGAAATATTTCAAAACAAGGTGCAACACACAGTGCCAAATCACATTCCTTGCACATGTATCTGGTTTCCCGTTGTTTTTTTTTGCTTTTTGCGCATACCACACACTTTCTTGTTGGGAATTTTTTCTGCCATGTTACGGACTCTATTATTGAAGGGGAATGCCTTTGTACTAAACGAAGTGGCAGATCTTCACTTTTTTGTCCTCTACACTTTTTCTCTTTTCCTTGCAATATTTCTGTGGAATTTCTCTTACTAATAGTAAGTGAAATTTGGCAACAGGTGTGTCTTTCCCCACAACAACTTTATATAATGAATGTGCACAGTACACCAACCACGCTTCACAAAGGAACAGGATAACGTGTAAAGCATCTAAATCCACCTGAACGCACGTGACAGGATGTTTAATTAATTATTACTTCAGTGATCTGTTGCCGAAAATGCTAAGAGCTTAAATTTAAAATAATTTAACCCCCGTGTGGGTTCCGGGGCCCTATTGTGGGGAAAACAAGAATAGACCCACTGCCTCCCCAGAGGCATGTCGTAAGAGTCGACTAACTGGGGAGCTTCCTTTGAAGTCGGAGTTCATCTGCCTGAGAGGCAAGGAACCAGCAGTCTGCATTCAATTGAATCAGATCTGTAAAACTGATGCACACGCAACACTCAGGTTCTGGAACAGGACTGCAGTCCAGAAGTGGACGAAAAACCAGAGCTTTACACCAGAGTTTACAGCTGGTGAACGCGAAGAAGAAGAAGAAAATAATTTTTTTTTAAAAACGCACGTAGGCGTTGAACGCTGGACTTTTCGATTGTAAGGCAGACGTGATACCAACTACACTAGAAATTCACATGAAACTGTGAACTGAAAAAAAGACCAGTATTGTACACTTTAATAGACAAACACATTTATGTCAGTTGTATAGTATATTATTAACATTAATATTAATCATCATGTCAGTACGTGACCATATCTTTATTTTGATTATTTTAGATCCGTTTCAAATCCAGTCGATGTAGATAGCTAGGTCAAATGGTCACTGGTCAAACTTGTTCATGGCCAGAAGTACACGTGTCCGCCGGCGTGCCGTGAAGATGACCCAGCTCATATAACTCACACGTTTCAAAGTGATCCTTACTACTACTCCTTGAAAGAAACTCCATAAATTCGTCTTTATTTAAACAAATGTTCTTGTTAATTTTTTTTTTTTTTTAAAGTGTAGACTAACGCAAAACCAGAAATATATTTCAGGGCAAAAAAAATTACCGTTCACCGACAATGCTTCTATGGTAACAAAGCAACAGGATAAAGTGAAATGCATCTAAATACGCCTAAACTCACGTGATAAGGGTTTTAATTGTATGTAAATGGATCAGTTTGATCAGATTAAAGTAATGTGTATTGCTATTTCACCCCTAAAAATTACTGTTCTTAGCAATCTGTAATAAAATGTCGAGGACGAGTTATCTCGTCCTTAGCAGTGAGGGCACAGAACATGGCAGCCGAGTCATCTCGTCTTTAGCAGTCTGCCGGGCAGACGAGTTATCTCGTCCATAGCAGCGAAAGGGTTAATGCGAGAAGCAGAAGTTGCTGAACGTCCATGATACAGAAAACATTGCATAGGATAGAATAGCTTGGAATTCTCAATTCGGACATGAAGATATTCTGCTGTATTTCTTGTCATTCTTTTTGGTGTTCGGCGGCTGTGAACTCTGGGAGAGGGTGTAGGTTTCTTCTGGACTTTGGTCTTGTTCCCTGACATATTTTTTTGGGGCATGCATATCTGTTTTACATACCTGTCTTTTGTGTGTGCAGTCTGTTAGCTCCTCCTTTCTTAGGTAGATGCACCTTGACTTTGCAGGAAACCCCTTATTCTGTTTATATTGCCAGATGACAAAATGGGGACCTATTTCTAGGATGACCACAGAGAAGTTTAAATAGTAGTTGACCAGTTTATACCTGGGCCCTGTTCACCACCATGTGTGGTTCAGCACCTCCATTTCCTACTCCATTTGCCATAACACTTGAAGTTTATTGTGTATTTTACTTTCAGGTCAATAATGAACAGCAATGGGAGAACATCCAGGAGGAGTTTCATCTTCCTCGTGCCTGTGTTAACAGCACCCAGGCCCTGAAAAACATCTACTTTAGGTAATTGTCTATTAATAGAACTTGTGTTCTTCGAGTTACGCAAATCTTAGTGGGAGTTGCAGAAGCATAGCAGCTAGACTCTGGCCTGCTGGTTCTAAGGTCTTGGATTTGAATTTGCAGGCTGATTTATTTTTACAAGTGACCTTTGCTCCCAGGTGGTCCCAGCCTAAAATGGGTATTAGGTTGTATACTGGGAAGTAATGGTAGCCAGAATAGTGTTGACCACATCACCAGTCAAGTGTCGCTTGCATCATACGCCTGATGTGCCACTGGGTTCAAAAGGTTCCTTTTCCATTAGTTTAAAAAAACAGGTGATGTCTTTTTGCTAGAAATGTCCAGCTAGATGCTTGCATTCTTCTTATTCTTCTTCTTGCTACCCTTATTTGAGCATACTCCTCAACCAACTCAAGCCATCCTGTCCTCCTTGTCTCATGCAGCTTACCCATGTTCTCCCCATGTTATTAGTCTGCCTTCAATTTCTGTCTGCTTGTGCTTTTAGGTCTTTCTCTACCTCTTTTGTCCTGTGGGTTCCAGTGAAAGACAGGTTTTCTTTTATGTCTTATTAAATGCCAGTGTCTTTTCCTCACATCGCAGTTTATTCTTCTCTTCTGTCATGTGCTGTTGTTTCAGTATCCTAGATGAAATCGAGTCCAGCATCCTTGGCCTCTCTTCTCTCATCAACATTTGTCCTAGTGTTTCTTCTGGACATCCTCATTTCCTTAATCCATTTATTTTCCTTTAAGTGTCTGTTTGCTGATTCTCAACAGCTTTAGAAGAGTGCTCAAATGTCCTCATATGGCCAAAATAAATATTTCTCATGTTTTTGTGTGTGTTACTCAGCTTCTAAGGAGCATCAGAAGCAGGCGGTCATTATTTTTGGAGCTCATTTGAGATGTTGTCAAAGCTGGAAAGATGGAGCAAGTTACAGGAGAAAATTTTTTAGTCTATTGCATGGCATGGCCATGAGTTAGTAACCACACTTATACATGTTTTGGAGATTGCAATGTGTGTAGAGCCATGATCACCGATGCCAGCCCTTAATGCACTTGATCATGTATTATTTCCAGTTGTCAAAAAGCATTTTATTATGATATATTCCTCATCACAAAGAAATACAACATGACTATTGTAATCTTCTACAGGTTTTTGAATCTTTACGAGAAGGTGAACTTTTTAGGGGAAGATCCAGATGTAAAAAATAACGAGGAAGAAGATGCTCCAGCGCGGAAAAAGATCTGTCTTCCTATAGATTCTATTCCCCTGTGTTATAATTACAACCAGCACAAACTAACAGGTACACATTTTTGTTGTTGTTGTTTTTGCATTATTGATTGATTCTTGTTAAAGGTTTAAAAAAATAATGGTTGCATGGAGAAGGCTAAGAAAAATAAAAAGGATCCTTTTTATGCGTTAACACAACACTTGGTGGGTGATGTAGTAAACATCCCACTGACCATCTTTACTTTCCTAGACATTATCTGGTACCAGTGTTATATAGATTGGGTCGACCTGGGAGCCAAGGTAAATTTGAAGAAGCAGATCTGCCTAAATGCAGATTTGATATGGGCTGAACCAGAGAAATAATTTTGGGTGGTCTAAAACTAGGACTGATCTTATTTTTGACCAGGATCAAACATGGAACTTACTGCAACTAGAAAGCAGAAATTGATAGTAATAGTTTTCATTCATATACGTGAGCTGCTAGAGTAATAAGAAAAGATACACTTAAAGAAATTAAGAAGAAGAATATGACTAAAACCAGCCATATATAGATGGACAATTAAGAGACTAATTTGATTTTATAAACAGAACACATAAGAAAGAGCTTACCTACAACAAATACATCACCGCCAAAACTTGACTGAGGTATCAAGAAGAGAAGAAGGAGGTCTAAGATGTGGCAAAGAGGAATATCATTAGAAAGAACTTATCCAGAACACCAAGAAAACTAATAGATGTACTAAGACATCATCAGTATAGTCTGTCCACTGACCAGTGTGATAAAGAAATGTGATGGTTATTTTATGTGTACAATCATTCGGACAGCAGCACAGTCTGTCCACTGACCAGTATGATGAAGAAATGTGATGGTTATTTTATGTGTACAATCATTCGGACAGCAGCACAGTCTGTCCACTGACCAGTGTGATGAAGAAATGTGATGGTTATTTTATGTGTACAATCATTCGGACAGCAGCACAGTCTGTCCACTGACCAGTATGATGAAGAAATGTGATGGTTATTTTATGTGTACAATCATTCGGACAGCAGCACAGTCTGTCCACTGACCAGTATGATGAAGAAATGTGATGGTTATTTTATGTGTACAATCATTCGGACAGCAGCACAGTCTGTCCACTGACCAGTGTGATGAAGAAATGTGATGGTTATTTTATGTGTACAATCATTCGGACAGCAGCACAGTCTGTCCACTGACCAGTATGATGAAGAAATGTGATGGTTATTTTATGTGTACAATCATTCGGACAGCAGCACAGTCTGTCCACTGACCAGTGTGATGAAGAAATGTGATGGTTATTTTATGTGTACAATCATTCGGACAGCAGCACAGTCTGTCCACTGACCAGTATGATGAAGAAATGTAATGGTTATTTTATGTGTACAATCATTCGGACAGCAGCACAGTCTGTCCACTGACCAGTATGATGAAGAAATGTGATGGTTATTTAATGTGTACAATCATTCGGACAGCAGCACAATCTGTCCACTGACCAGTATGATGAAGAAATGTGATGGTTTTTTAATGTGTACAATCATTCGGACAGCAGCACAATCTGTCCACTGACCATTATGATGAAGAAATGTGATGGTTATTTTATGTGTACAATCATTAAGACAGCAGCAGTCTGTCCACTGACCGGTATGATAATGAAAGGAGATGGTTATTTTATGTGTACACTCATTAAGATGGCAGCACAGTCTGTACACTGACCAGTGTAATAATGAAAGGAGATGGTTATTTTATGTGTACAGTCATTAAGACAGCAGCACAGTCTGTACACTGACCAGTGTGATGAAGAAATGGGGTGGTGATTTTATGTGTGTTAATGCGCTAAAACAGCATTACACTCTGTCCACGGACTTGTATGAGGGTGACCATTTGAGTTAACCGAACATGTTGATCAAGATCTTTAAAAAAAATTGGTCGACACATTCTGTTTCTGGAAATACCTTTTTGTTATTGTTGAGTCTGCACTCTGGATAGTTGCAGTCCCCTGCTGATAAATTCAGTCTGCCTGGATAGTGGATTGCTGCAATCAAAACATTAAAAGCACAGCATGCCGGTGGGGGCTGCAATATTTAGAATTCATCACTACCGCAAAAACACTACACCCGCAAAAAATACAAAATATCCTGCATGCAAAACAGCAGTCTATGACAAAAGAATACAACAGTCATAATAAAAAACCAGGGTTGGCAATCAAAACATCCACTTGTCGCCATCGCCATTTTGAAAACAGAATTCCTGTGACGATATTAAATGATTGTGTGTGTTATATTGTGTGATGATTTATGTGTACAGATGCACTGAGGCAGCAGCACAGTCTGTCGACAGACCTGTACAGCCAGAGTGATTATGAGAAGCTGCTGATGTCCCTGCGCTCTGGTTTGCCCAATGAAGTGGACCTGGCAGTAAATGTGTGTGTGCTGTTATCCACCGAAGGCAAGCACTGCATCAAGCTGGAGAAGTGCCCACAGCTGCTGCATCTGCTTCTAGCCCACGTGGGTGTGTTTGAAGGTAAGGGTTGGTGAGGATGGTGGGAGGTAAGGGACGATTTGTGGATGGGGATACATAGTCTAGCCGCCTTAGTGCAGCTGATAGAAGGCTCGCTTTCAAATCCAGCTGCAGCTCACTGCAGCCATGGTCAGGGTTTGAAACTGGGCGGTTTCTAGGGTTCACCCAGCCTTTAGGAAATGGGTACCAGAGTGACACTCTGAGGGTAAATGGAGCTACAGAGTTACGTGTGAACAGCGACACGGGCGGACAGTTTCTTATCAGCTGTCCGTGCTGGTGGCAGAGCACTTATGGTTTATAACTGTGCAGTGACGCTGGTTCACATCTACTGACTTCACCTTTACCTTTTATAGTCTCCTATATATCCACAGATATACTCTCATGTATAGATGATATACATAAATGTACCCGCGCTTTTAAACATCATCAATCATCAAGTCCTTTACAGAACGTCGCTCCCCTCACGGCACGCCTGACAGTATCCCTTTCCCTGGCTAGCTCTCCAGCCCCATGTGCTTTCAGCATAATTGCACCTTAAATGTTCTCCATCAATCTTCGCAGAGGTCTACCCCTGTCTCGCTTTCCACAAATTGCTCCCTCTATAATCGTCTTTTCCAAGCTATCATGATGTTTGATGTGGCCAAAATACTTCAACTTTCGGAACAGGATGCTGTTTGTGAACCAGTTATCCTTGATGTTGAATTCGTGTAGAATGTCAGTGTTTTTCCTCTCCTAAAAACCATATATCCATGGTAATCTGATAATTTTTCTGTAACATTTCAATTCAAAAGCTCGATTCATTTTCTTCAATGACTGAGTGAGAGTCCAGGACTCACAACTGTGAATTACTACAGGAAAAATGCACCAACTCAAGATTTTTACTTTAACTAATGCATGTCTACTTTCGAACATAAACGTACATAGACAGGCTCATGCATACACGCATGATCATATATAAACAATCGTGCACACACACACGTACACATAATCTTACAACATACATGCTCCCGCATACTCATACATACAAACACTTGTACATATGAGCTTGTGAAGGTAATGCAGGATAAGTTTGCGAGGTGTGTGAAGATGAGGGAGGATGTGTGAGTTGTTTAAAGGTGAGGGAATATATTACGGAGGATGAGTGGAAGGAGTGGGTGTGTGTGATGGTTTGTGGAGTGTCAATGTGAGGCAGGAGCTATTTGAAAGTAAGAGGAAAGTGTGAGTTGGGAAGGTGGGAAATATCTGAGGTCTTTGAGGATAGGATCTGAGTCTGGCACTCAGCCGTGTGTGTCTGTGTTGATGGAGGTAGGTGGTGTCAGTTGTTACTGTTTTTTTTTCAAATGGCAACTGTTTGAAGTCTTTGATTACAGCTTGTAGGCATGATCTAGTGACATTGTCATGGTCCAGTGGCCAGCATGCTTATCTGCTGACTTAGTCTTCCTAGGTTTGAATCTTCCTAGAGGTGAACTTTTAAAATTGACCTAGCCTCCCAGATTAAGAACAGCTTAAAAGTTGGTGCTAGGCAGCTGTCAAGGCCACTGAGAAAGGGGATAGATCATGTTTAGGAATGACAACACTACATTGATGCTAGTTCTCGAATCATTTACTATTGCAGTGTGGGTTCCAGACTCACCATTTTAAGAACAGACATACCAAGCATGCCTTAAATGGGGGACTGAGTGGTCTCGAGGTATGGTGTCCGCCTCGAGTGCTTGAGGTCCCGGGTTCAAGTCCGGTGAGGGCTGGGATTTGTTCACGTGTACTTCTAGTAATTTTCCCTGGGTAGTAAGATCAGATGCCCATGTGTATTGTTGCGCACGTAAGAAATACCCTGGCAGTTGGAAATATAAAAGAGTAGCCTAACGGCACTGCCCAGGCAAAATGTTGAGTTAAAAATCTACCCAAAGTATTTTTAGGATCCTCATCGGTGCAACAGAGTTCGTGCACTGCGCTGAGATTCTTCAAGACTCAGGCTTGAGTTAGAATTAGAACTGAGCACTTATGAGTTACACGCATATGCCATGATGTTGATCCGTCAAAACCAAAAACATAAGCATGCCGGAAAAGGCACCTAAATAGCAATTTGCTGAAATCACATGTATTCGGCTGAAAAGTTCAGATTTCACAGCTTCGCTGTAAACCACAACACATGTTAACCTCTCTTTTAATGGGGAACGTAGAAGAAGAATCACTCATTCATAAAACAAGGATAATTTCTCATTTACTTCCTGCAGATTCAGACGAGATGCAAGATCTGTATCAGCACTGTTGGTTGCCCTACACCAAGAGGAACTTTTTGAGGGTAAGTGTCTGTTCAGTTAGTGCTTCAAACAGCACGATACACAGATTGACACATATTAATTGGTAGTCATAGTTGTAGTGGAAGAAAGTAAATATAGGAGGACACTATGTCCTCTTCATCTCATTGTTGACCTTCAGTCCCTTCTCTGCTGTCTTTCTTAAGATTTCCTTAGGCCGCCCTTGTCTAATTTTTCCATCTGCATATTCGTCCATAGCAGCGAACAAGTTAAGAAAAGAGCAGAATGTGAACAGGAAGAGAAGGCAGTAACATACCTGTCGTATGCTATCTAAGTTACACACTAATCTGCACACTTCCAAGTGTCTATAGATATAATTTTGGCTCCCACACTCTTGAAGCAGGACTCGACGACAGTAGTTCCATCATGCATCAAATTTATTTGACAGAACACAAGAGGGTATACACAAGCCCTCACATCAACAAAACTGCATACGTAGAGATGTAGACACTGATCCTAATTGGCATTTGCACCTAGTCTATGTAGTCCTCATTGTCTCTCAACTTGTAGCATCCTCTCCCTGACCACTACAGCTCTGAAGGTCTACAGCTTCCCACAACTCTGGGGTCGTTGTACAGCTGAAAACAGGACGAACTCGCCTATCCACTGGACCTTGATATGACTTCAGCAGACAACCACGGACTTCACTTGCCCGTTCTCCACAGCACGTCAGCCTGTCGAAGAATTCCGATGACCGACAGGACTTCTAAGACAAGTTCCCCCTCTACCACACAGCTCTCGTCGGCTTCCCTACTGTTCTGTTTCCATGGTGATCCTACGTCTCATTGCGCCGTCACCCAGAACAGTCACTATTGCAGCATCCAGTCCCCTTGGACTTAATTCGCCAGCGGGACTATACCTTCGATCTATACCGCAACCACAACCCTTACTCAGACCTTGATGCCTGATAGTTACACAGTACTCTGTCTGCCTTCGTCCAGTTTTTCCATCTGCATATTCGTCCATAGCAGCGACCAAGTTAAGAAAAGAGCAGAATGTGAACAGGAAGAGAATGCAGTAACATACTGTGAGAAGAAAAGGGCCATCCAGTCTATTATAAGTGAACAGAATCTGATCACAGATGACTACCACTTACTTGACCGTCTTGGGCAGTGTCATTATTCTATGCTTCAGGACAGGACATAACAAACTTAACAAGCATATTAGTATTTTAAAAAATGTTGCTGTTGTATATTGTGTTTTTGTTTGCAAAATGAGTACTAAGTCCCTTTGGCTTCCATATATTTCTTAGCCTTGCAAATGTTTGGTTTGCCTTGTTTATTCTGAAGTTTACATCCTTTTAAGAATCTCCTTCTGGGCAGGATACAAGACAACATAAAAAAACAGAAAGATTCAGTTATCCTACTAGGAATCGAACCTTGCACCTGCAGATGGTGATGCTACCTGCTGCAGGAGCAAGTTTACATCGACGCATAGCCAGTTAAATTTTCATTTTAACACTAGATATGTCACTCATAGGTTCAGATACGCATAGTTGTGGAATTTGTAAAAAATTGACCTTGTCTTTTGCATTGACCCAGTCTAAAAAATGGGTAATGGGTACCCGGTAGTGCACTGGTAAAGTTGACCAACCTGATGTTGACGACGTCACCCACCGAGTGTCGATTGTCTTTAAAATTATGTGTCTAACATATGCCTGGTGCACCACTTGCATAAAAAGGGTCCCTTTTTCACTTACTTACACTACATAATTATGGGGTTTTATATACAGCCAGTACACCTTAGTGAGTACCAGGCAATGTCCTGGGAAGTGAAGACAGCCTGTGGGCTATTGCTCACATTACCCATTGAGTGCGAATAGGAGAATTATAAAACATGATATGTCTGGTGCGTTCCTGCCGTAAAAACTAATACTTGGAATTAACCCTTGTCACTTTCTTATGACACTAATACCTTCTCGCAGGATCAAATGTACTTCAACGCATGGCCAACTGATGCTTTTATTTTAATTCAACACTTAGTCATGATTTTCTCTCTATATGTAAGAGAATAATAATTTTTTGTTAGTAGATTGCCAGTAGACCTCTCAGTAATGTTTCAGAATTCTTGTTCCCACAGTTTTGGTACGAGACAGTTGACAGTGCTGATGTCAGATCCCTAATAACCTGGAGGGGACAGCAGTACATACAGAGTAGGTTTTCTTCTGTGATGTCATGTTATTTAATGTGTCAAGTTTGTTAAACGATTGTTTTATCTGTGTAGTTATTTTTTTCTTAATTCTCTCCACATCTTACCCACCCCTAACCAACTTTCTCTATTTTTCTCACCCCCTCAGTGCCTCAGGTCATCTGTTGCGCCTCCTCCTGTTTCTCTTCTCTTCCCTGCCTTCTGTCATAACAGTTTTCTTTCTTTCTGTCTCTTGCCGATTGTCTCAATCTCTTATACATCTGGGAACTCTTTTTTTGGGGGGAAAAGAATAGACCCACCATGTGACTGCCTTGGCATTTTAAAATAAAAGTTAATTTGTCTGCTGAAAGATAGACCCCATCTTCCTTGTGTGGGTTCTGGGGTCCCCTTTAAAGCAGAAAAAGAACAGAACCACTGCCCCCAAACAAGCATATCCTCAAAGGCAACTAATTAGGGATTTGCTCAATATCCTGGCCTAGCTGCAGCACATTGTATAAACCATTCTTTTCAGGGCAAACTCATATAAAAGCAAAGTCGTCTGCTCGCTTTCTCTTTCCACTTTCCTTCTACCCTGTGCCTACAAACCAGTTTACCAGTCTGGCATAATTTATTTGTCTTGTTTATTTTCAACAGGAGAATTGGTAGGGGCTGAAGTTTTAAACCTGGGCCGAGATCTGGGAACATCAGATGTTGAAGGGCAGAGAGTTGGGCAGGTATGTCTGAGTGACTGGTTTTTTCCCCAGGGTTTTAGAGTTGTGGGTGATTTTTATGTAATCAGTGGGTGTTTACTTTAGTGAGTCTGATATCCATACTTTAATAAGTCTAATAGTTACACTTTAGTGGTGACGATGATTGTATTGCGACAGTGAGTCTGTGGCAAAGAGTTTTAGTTTTTCAGAGGTTGTGTGTCATTATTGAGTTCTGTGTGTTAGCTAGACAAGAAGTTTTAGTCTATCAGAGATTGTATGTCAGTAGTGGTTCTGTGTGTTAGCTAGACAAGAAGTTTTAGATTATCAGAGATTGTATGTCAGTAGTGAGTTATGTGTGTTAGCTAGACAAGAAGTTTTAGTCTATCAGAGATTGTATGTCAGTAGTGAGTTCTGTGTGTTAGTTAGACAAGTTGTTTTAGTCTATCAGAGAATGTATGTCAGTAGTGAGTTATGTGTGTTAGCTAGACAAGAAGTTTTAGTCTATCAGAGATTGTATGTCAGTAGTGAGTTCTGTGTGTTAGTTAGACAAGTTGTTTTAGTCTATCAGAGAATGTATGTCAGTAGTGAGTTATGTGTGTTAGCTAGACAAGAAGTTTTAGATTATCAGAGAATGTTTGTCAGTAGTGAGTTCTGTGTGTTAGACAAGAAGTTTTAATGTATCAGAGATTGTGTGTCAGTATTGAGTCTGTGGTTTGAGGTTTGAACAACAGATCATCACCATGGCACAAGGGTAGTAACCCATAAGTGCTCCGTTCTACTTCTAACTCAGGTCTGAGTCTGAAGTAGCTCAGCATAGTTCACAAACTCCGTAGCACCGGCGAGGACCCTGAAATATTTTGGGTAAATTTTTAACTGAAAATTTTGCCCGGGCTGCGCTGTTAGGCTACTCTTTTTTATTTCCAACTGCCAAGAGATTTTTTTGTCTATGGTAAGAAGTTTGAGCCTATCAGAGATTGTATTTCAGTGGTGACTTCTATTAGCTAGGCAAGCTGTTGTCTGTCAGAGATTGTATGTCAATAGTGACTCTGTGTGTTAGCTAGACAAAGTAGTTTTACTCTGTCAGAGAAACTGTAAATGCTTTATCTTGTACACTTTGTATTGACTGCTTTGCAGACAGTCTTTATTCCTCAACATGAAAAACCTTTTGGCAGACATCAGCAGTGGTCTAAATACCATAATTATTTACCTACCTATATAGTATCAGAGCACTCTGTGTTGTTGGGTTAGCTGGTTACTCTTGACTAATTTATCGGATATTATACTGAACCTGATGTGTTCATATTTGAAACCTGTCCAGTTTGCCAGATTTGGCATTCAAGTCTTTCTTGACCTGCCTTGTATCAGGCCCTGTTCCAGAATGGTAGTTTTCATATTTTATCTGGGATGCAGAGGTGTTGAACCACACATGGAAGTGTGTCAGGGCTCATCCTGGTCAAGACCTGTCCATTGCGGTCTTAGAACTGGGTGGCTGGCCAACTTAGATAGGATCATTTCCTTTGAATTTGAATGTATATGCTGGAGAGGTGAAAAACCAGCAGTCTGCACACAGCCTGAGATAGGTGTGCATGCAACACTCAAGTCCTGCAACAAAACCACAAAGTCCAGAAGTTGATGAACAACCAGGACTGTCTGTCGGAGTTTACAATCATGAGCGAGAAGAAAAAAATATATTATTTTATCTCATGTATGAGTGGTAGCTAATGTTTGTTTTCCCCACGTAATTCACAGATAGCTGTGTTTCTGCACAATCTTTCATTTGAGGAGGAGAACCAGAAAATCCTGGCCAGCAGCTACTTAGCCTACAAGTAAGTTTGACAGGCTTGTTTGTTTCAGCTTGTGATAATTTACAGGGGGAGGGGGATGTCAGGAACAGTTTTCTGGCGTGAGGATCTATGATGATGTCCCTTTATTTTTATAAATCCATCAAAGATGCATACAGCAGAGAATAGAGAGTGAGAAGCAACCATCAAAATTCTTAATCTGCTTAAATCACCACTGATCACTGGCATCTTTGAGGCTTATATACTGCCTTGGTTTGGGGGGCGGGGGGTGTCATATAGAGAGAATGTCAGATAACAAAGATAAAAACTGTGTGCACAAAAGAGTTGAATGGGGTAGACCAAAGAGGCAGATAAAGAATGTTGTTGAGAGCTATAATACACACAGACTTACAACACTTGGAGTCACAAACCAGAGAGATTTGGAAGTGGTAACAGAACGATTAAAGAATGAAATAATGATCTATGTTTGTGTTCTGGGTGATATAATTGAGTTCTGGGATCTCTGTTTTAAGAAGAAAAAAAAATAATCATAGACCCACTGACCACTAACAAGCAGGACATAAAAGGTGACTAATAAGAGATTTGCTGAAATTTGAAGTGTTATATCAAAAGGCACAGATATCACAGCCTAGCTGTAAACTAGAACACACAGTACTAACTACCCTTTTTAGGGAGAACGTAGATGACTAAATGTCAGTAATGTGTGTCTTATTTTGGTTTAAAATAAAAAGAATTATGGCTTTTAAGCATTTCTGTTGAATACTTGTGTGTATGTGTGATGTTTAGAGTTGGTTGTATTTTTGTTGGCTAACAAATAATGTAATCAATATCCTCAGGTTTGTCATGTTGAGCTTGCACAGCACATACGGATGTCTCAGACAATTAGCACTGGACACCTTCGCAAATCTTTCCTGTGAGGTGAGGATATCAATTGATATATGTATGTGTATTCTATCTCTTTTGGAATGGTGAACATGTTAAATAAAAATGTTTATTTGTACTGAGTGAAGGCGTTCTGCCATCGACTGCACTTCTTGACCACTGCTGTTTTGTTATTCACTTTCATGTCCTGGAAAGTTACAATGTATACATGCACACCAGCGCCTGCCAGATTGATTAAAACTCTCATGCAAAAAAATAAATTGTATTCTTGTTAATGTCCACGCTTGGCATTGGTAACACCATGTTAGTATATATTTTTTTAATGTATTGAAAATTGCTCTTTTTGTCTGGACAAATGAACACTCTTATTTCCAAAGGGTTACAAATTGGGCACGCAGGCCTCTTGCATTCAGCCCTTCTGAGCATTCATCTTACATAAGGCTGTTTGCATTTTATATATCGAATACTATGTTCACATATCAAAATTGATTGTTTAAATGTAATTTTAAAAATACAAAGGCACAGAAGACAAATGCTTACATCCAAATATACATGAAAAATACTCAACACATCACGCGCACACATCACTATTACACACCCAGAGCAGCACATATTGATTACACACACAACATAAACAGGCATGCACACAATCACAGTTAGAACACATACACACAGAGCCAACACACATACACAGACACACACAAAAACAGTCACAAGATCTACACACAAACAGACAACACACATCAAAAAGTGTTTTGTGTGTGTGTGTGAGACACTTATCAGGTGACCAGAGTTGTCAAGTTTCCCTCCTCAGGCAAAATTTTGTGCAGAAAGATTGCTAACTGTGAATCATTGGGGAAACAGGCATCAGCTGGTTCAGCAACTCTGGCTGCACATATATTTATGAACCAAATGCCACTGTTTGAAGTGGAGCTCACATCCTTTAGAGCGCCCGGTAATGGCCTAACAGCTTTGCTATGGTGACCCATACCCCCAATCTCCCCCCCCCCCCCCCCCCCCCCCCCTGAAACATGAAATTGGATTCGCTTTGAGGTGAAAGGAAGTTGTATACTGGCTATATACTCGCCTGAAGGTCAAAGGTTCAAATCTGCACATAGGCACATTTTTAAACAAAAATTGGCCTTTGCTCCCTGGTTGACACCGCTGAAAATAGGTATCAGGAAATAGTCTGGGACACACAAAAAAAAAGCTATTGTCCTTCGAGTGCTGATTGGTCTGGTCTGTGAAAATATAAGCATATGACTGATGTGTGAAAAGGTCTTTTATTTACTTTAGGGTGAATACACTAAAGCGTAAATGTCTGTCTGTTTATTCATATATTGAAAGTTACCCTCTGATGTTTCATTGTCCTGAAAACTTCCTGCAATAATCCATTTCTTTTTTTCCCCCTCATTTAGCTGGCACTTGACAGTGTCAAGGGTGTTGACTGTCGGCTAGTGCTGAACCTACTTAATACTGCCCTGTTTTCTGAGGACAGGTTTTTCCTGGTCAGAGGTGAGTTTGCTTCTGCATACCTTTAGTTACAGCATTGATTAATGATTGGCAAATTTATGAGCTGATTCACAAATTTAAAAAAAAGGGGGGTAAAGATGGGAGCTCTGCCTGTACTTCTTTCTGTGAATACTAATTAGTATTTATTATTTGTGTTAGTTTCTTGGGCCTCAACGGTTCCCTAGCTGTTTATTCTTTTTAATGATTGCACAATTCTTTATCAATTGGAAAGAAGAAATCTGGTCTGAGGAGCAAAAGTGCATGACAAACTATGTGAGGGTAAACACCTCAAGTTCACCTTATTTGTTTGTGACCCATACTGGAATAGATTGATGACAGCTGAAAAGAAACGATTACATCACCCCCTACCTATTTTATTAAAAAGTTTTATTTCTTTTTCAGGGCATTGCCAACCAACACCAACATTTATTGACTATTATATGGTTCTATTTTACTGTAAGACATGGAACATATAACTTTCACAGTGTATGTTCTTGGGCCCATATGCTGGGTTCTAGTGTAGGCCCACTGCCCCCTCCAAACAAACATGTCCTAAAATATTGACTAACTGGGGTGTTTCCTTCATAGTCCGAGTGCATCTGCCTGAGAGACGAGCATTCAAGTCTGCACACAGCTATGCTAGGTCTGTAAAATGGATGTGCACTAGAGTCTAAAAGTGAATGAACAACCAAAACATTCTGCCTGAGCAGCAGAATAAGCCTGTCCAGGGTACATCGATGACCACTTGCTAACTAATTTGTCCACTAGGTCTTGAGATCTTAAGTAAAATGAGCCAGGTGGCCAGCAGCGAGAGCATCATGGTGGAGCATCTGAGAGAGGATGTTTACAAGCGGCTGTTGGATCTACTGACAGTGCAGGACATTCAGCTGATCGTCCACACGCTCGAGGCTCTCTACAAGCTGTCCAAGATCGGGGAACCCTTCACCACGAGGATATCCCGGGTTCACAGAGCTATTGGTAAGTAGGCACATCGCACATGCAAACTAGAGCTACTGTGTTTTAACTAAACATGGTGTGCATCCTCACAGTGAAATTTGGATATACCTTACTCACATCCATGTGGGAGTATTTCCTGGTGAGGTTTCAATCTCTTCCACTGTCGACTCTTGGACCGCCCCATCCGAAAAACTAGATCAGCGGTTCTTAGCTTGTGGGTCGTGACCCTTTTTTGTGGTTGAACGACCATGTGACATGTAAGACCATCGGAAAACACAATCACTGAAGTTATCATGTAGCAACGAAAATAATTTTATTGGGGGGGGGGGGGGGGGGGGGGGGGGGGGGGGGGGTGTCACCACAACACGAGGAACTAAAGGGTTGCAGCAATCGAAAGGTTGAGTACAACTGAACTGGATGCATTATAAAAGTAAAAGTTGGTCCTTTTTGGGGTTTGCAGCCAATGTATAAGGTAGCTAGTGTTATGCCAGCCATCTTTTGCTGACTTTTATGCATGTTGTGTTATTCATCATCGTCATCATCTTGCTGTACCGTTTTACGTCCATGCTAGTCCTGTGATCAGTTTTATCCTCTGCAGTCCTTTCACTATTATAGATAGAATCCAGTCCAGTATCTTTGGCCTCTCTGAACATTTGTTTACTTTAGGGTTTCTCTTGAGTGTGCTCGTCTCCACTGTTTCTCAGTATGCTTATTTGGAGATTCTCTGTCCTCTTCTCCTCATGGTGTGCCTAATATGTGCCATCTTCTTTGTCTTACATTGTAGCAGATAGTTTGACTATCTATACTTTCTTTATGGGTGTGTCTGTTTAATTTGTTAGTCATTCAGTTAGGAACCATCTCTATGCTCAAGATTGGCTCTCCAACACTCTCTTGGATGTACACTCTCTGAAACTGCTGTCGTCCAAATCTTGATTTTTGTCCTCTCACTTGTATTATTGTCTTTTGCTCTCTTGCCTTTAACAGGTTTTTGTTAAAAATAAGTTTATATCTTTTTCTTTAATTTATAGTTATATTGAATTAAGTCATTTGTTTTTTTAAATGTCACTGTTTATTTTTGGAGGTTTGTTTGTATTTTGTTTGCCTAACTGTATATGCATTTGTGTGCTTGTCTGCTTATTCTTTATTCTTTAATTCTTTTATCCTCCAGTGAATTAATGTTAAAATCTTTGACATGTATGTATATGAGGAATATAAACACACACATCTTTCTTACAGATTGAGATTAAAAAAATATTTGCACACACACACACACCACAAATCTCACCTAATGCTGTATGATTAACATCCCACAGCCATACCTCATGTAATGCTGTATTTGACATCCAACAGAGACACTAGTAAGCTTGATAACAATTGAGGCACAGTCGTTTGGCCCTGGCTCTCTGGTGGGGATCAAGGTTGTGGAGTATGTTCCACCCACTCATGTCAGCAGCGAGGAAGGGGAGAATCCTCGGAGGCCCACCACAGTCATTCAGTCCATCAACCCAGACTCTGTCAGTGAGTATCATTGTGTGTAGAGATTAGATAAATGTGTGGCCTTTGTAAGTTAGTATCATTGTTTAGGGAGATCAGGTAAATGTATGGCCTTTGTCAGTATCATTTTGTGGGGAGATTAGGTAAATGTATGGCCTTTGTCAGTGAGTATCATTGTTTGGGGAGATTATTTGGCTCTCCTTTAAATAACGGTCGCTAGCTGGAAGGCGACGGCCGGTTAGTCCGAGTTCAGTCCCCTGGCTGCAATTACGGAGTGGAAAAGAGGGAACGAAACAAATGAGATAGTTACCTGTCATCTTTGGGTTTGGGGTAGGGTTAGGGTAACAAACAAATCACGGAAACCACGCAATCTTATCGCTCATTACGACATATAGATCCGCAGGTCTCACATCTACGGCCACTAAGTCTTGCGGCGGAAGAACGCGGTCGCTAATTTGAGTCGCAGCGCGTGGTCCACGAGAGTCTTGCGTTGCAAGAACGCGGTTGCTAATGTCAGTCGCAGCGCATGGTCTAGCTCTAGCAGCCATGTCGACCTGACTTTGTTTTTTAAATCATGACTTGTCCGCTCTGTAATTGCACTGCAGCCAGGGGAGTGAACTCCGAGTAAGCGGCCGTCGACGTCCAACTAGCGACCGTTTTTTTAAAGGAGACCCGATTATTTAAATGGATGGCCTTTGTCGGTGAGTATCATTGTGTGGGGAGATGATGTAAATGTGTGGACTCTTGCAGTATAAATGTATGGCCATCGATCAATACAGCTGCCATAGACCAATACAGCTACCATACCATAGTCGTTACTGCTAATGCACCATCTTCATTACAGCTATTGCAGTATCATCATTGCAGCTACTGCACCATTGTCATTACAGCTAACCCACCATCCCATTTACAGCTGCCTCACAATGACCATTGCAGCTATAATATTTACCATACCGTCACCATTACTGTTACCACGCACAAACACCATCACCATTATAGCTACCACACACCATCACCATTAGAGCTACCATCATCATCATTACAGCTTCTTGACCATCATCTTCAGAGCTACCCCACCATCACCATCCAGCCACCTTCATCATTACAGCTACCACATGATTGCCATATCACACCAGCATCATTATTCCTGACACCACAGTGTTTGTTTCCTCCATTAGATATCTACCAAGTGCCTGTCAACTCCCAGAGCCAGTTAAGTGGTGTACCAGACACTGGCGGGGGGAAGGGCCCAGGTGGAGGGGGAGAAACCCCAAAAGCAGCTGCATCTGATAAAGAAAAGGAAGCAGTCACAGATATTCAAGTCACAACTACCAGCTGGTGAGTTTATTACATTAGTATCTGTTTTGCTAAGGTTTATATACTACATGGTAGCAAGAGAAAACAGCGAGATACATGCCTGGATGGCTAGGCCACATTGAAAGGGTGAGACAAGAACATTGACCTGATCTGTGACATGGTGAAAAATGACGGCCTATGCTTACTGATGCAGCATATGCTATTGGTGATTAACATTATCACAGAATTGAACAACTATGCATGTATGGAATCCCCTTTGGGTGTTGAGGAATGCTAATGTTCTGTCTGCCCCTGCCTTATCTTGAGGGCTGATCAGCATTACATGACCTGATGGGGATGGGCCACCTGTGGGCCAGGAAGGGGAGGGGAGATAATGACATCACAGTGAGACTGCAGTGTCTCACGGAACTGATCGTGTAGGCTAACCCAGGCAACAAATGCCTTAAGCAGAAGGATGTATCTGTTGAAAGGTGCAGATCTCGCAGCCATGCTTACAACGGGCACGGCACAGTTACGTCATTGGGTCAGTGCAAAAGAAGAACTAAAGTGGTATGTTAGAATACGCATTGTGAGACATATCGAGAACTGAACTAATTTAGTTTAATTAAGAAGTGAGGGGGAAACGCTGGCTTTAGATGGGACCTGTATCCGTATTAAGAAATGCAGCATAGCTAGAAACTCTTTTTTTTTTCCCTGGATCCCACTGAGCAAAAAATAGAGGGAAACCTTGAGACAGATAATATGGGGGAGGACTTGATAGAAGCTGTAGGAGGATAACAAGTCTAAGCATGTGTTTATGCTCCACTGGCGGATAAAAAACAAAAGCAGAAGGGGAAAATAAAATCTCAAATATGACATTGAGACTGCTTCTTGAGGTTAAATTAAAAAAAATATTCTGTGTCAAAACCTATTTGGGAAAACATTTTACCCAAAGAACAATGTTAGTTTGTTAATGTCACATTCAGACGTTGCTATCATCCGGCCCGAATGTTTTGAGTTCAGATCTGCCACAGTTTTTTTTTTTCTTTTTCAAATACATTTTTTATTATCAGTGATCTTTGCTTTTAGGTCAACTCAAGGAAAAAGAAGATTTAAGGCATTTGGCATTGATCCTGATACCTGGGAAGTCTCTAAAGGCTATTGTTCATCCTAATGCCTATCAAGAAGGCCAGAAGCTGCACCCAAGCAGAGACAGTACAGAAAAAAACTGAACTTGATACCCCGACTGCAGTGGTCCAAAGTTCCTGTCCACCCTTCCTGAGAAGATTCTGCACCTTATTAATCACCTACATAATACTCATAATCCCACTCTACTTAGATGAAATGAGTGGTTACCGGAAGAAAAAACAAAGACTTTGTCAGGTCTTTCACTTATCTTTATTCTTTTCCTTTCATTGAGTTTCCTAGTCTCTTTTTGTGCTAATTCATTCTTTGTATAAGTCAGAGAGAAGAATTCTGGCCCTTGGATGTGACCCTACAGGGCAGACTGAAAACCTCATGAGTGATGCCCTGTTTGTGATCTATGCTAGAATAGATGTAAAGCAACTGTTGATAGCTGGAAGATTAAAACACAATCTTTGGTGTGCGCATCACATTGACAGCAGTCACTCACATTTTGATTTTCATATCTTTGCAGGTTAAATGCGACCTTTGAACTGAAGAAGAAGAGTAAGGTTAACCAGGTGGAGCTGTTTTCAGAATACTTGCAGTTCTGCCGGAAGTTTGGGATTAGCAACGCTTTGTCTTCAGCAGATTTCTTACAGTTGGTCAAGTGAGTATACTTCTGTTCTCTCTGACGGTTGTTTCAGATGGCAAGGCTATGTTGCACTGCATGCCTGTCACTGATCCATGCAGCTTGATTGTCCCCAAAATGCTAACTGGCCAGACCTGGGATTCCCCCACCCCCACCCACACCCCCACTGTGTGTATGAAGCATGTCTGCAGCACATGTTCTGTATTCTGTTGTGCCCATTCACGTATGCAACATTCTGAACCCTAATCTTGTTGTGGCTGTGGCCAGTCTCCAGTAGACCTCTTTTGCACAGTTTCTCTTGTTGAAATAGTTTTAACAAAGTTTGAGGAGAGAAGCAGCTTCCTTGCACTGGGTTTTATCGTAATGGCTGGATCTCTCTCTGCAGAAATGCTAACTGCTTGCTGAGAGTGTCGCACAAAGCTTGAACAACAGTCCCTGAGTACATCTATAGAAATTCACCCATGAGCTAAACGACGACACATCTGTGAAATAACTACACAACCTTTAAAGCGTGAGGCAGATGGCTAGATCACTTAACAGCGAAGACCCCCATTTGTGTGTCTGTTGTTAGTTATGGAACCAGAGTTTTCAAGATTAGTTAGTAGTTAGCTATTTATGCTTGCTGTACCATTATTAAGTTTATATACTATGACATAACAGTTTTATTTCACACATCCACAGAGCAACATTTAACCAGTGTGAAGTGCTGAGCATTAACCGAAAAAATGGAGACAGGGACGTCTATTTTGAGGGGCTCTGCAAAAGGCCGGCCCAGAAGCCTTTTGCTGTAACGACTCTGCCACCAGAAAAAG